GACTCCATCGCCGGCTCAGCGCACCCGAAGGTGGGGCCGGCGTGGCAGGCAGAGCCAGGTATTGAACCCTGGCCCCTGCGCTTACCTAAGCAAGCGCTTAGTCCGCTGAGCTATACCACCGGCCCTTCCTTCTCTACTATTGAGAAACCTGTTTCCAATACATTGATTCCGTTATTGTGTCCCTGTAAATCTCTCTCCCACCACTGTCCCCTCCTCTGCATCCTTCCTCACCCACCCCATTCAGGTTTTAGCATTTGTGCCAGGTCGTCCTTCTGCATGGAGGGTGGGCTTTGCATGCTGAGGTTGAGGTAGGAGAATCACTGGGAGTTAAGGCCAGCCTGAACTACATGGTAAGACCTTGTCTCAAAAAGAGAATGAGGAGGAAGAGGAGGAGGAGGAAGAGGAGGAAGAGGAAGAGGAGGAGGAAGAGGAGGAGGAGGAGGAGAAATTTAGATAGGTCTCTCTAGTATTCTAAATTTAAAATCTGCTGATTCATCAATGCTGACTAAATAACAAGAGAATACTTGAATGCCAGAACTGGCAATGATTTCTCTAGTTAAAAAACAAACAAACAAACAAACAAAACCTATGAAAATGGCTGACTGAATTGAAAAGAAAAAATCTCTACTGAAATTGTCACCCTACTAGTGCAATATACCAAATGGCAATCTTAAGGCCTAGCCCAATCTTTTAAATCTTCTCTGTCTTGGAGAGTTCAGTCAAGTAACCTTTTGGTCCATGGACAGATTGGTTTCCCTGCCAATAACTAAGGCACTACTGTTACACAGGCTTCACGTCATTTAGACCAAATCTTTTGGGGGGGGGGTGGTTGGTTGATTATCCACGTAGGAGAGAGGAAACATGAACGAAGCATCCACTACCAACCAGAGAGTGTGCTCAGTGCTTTGTATATGTTATGCAATGTTTTTCATTTAACATCAACTCTGTGAAGAACGGTCAGGAAAGAGATACAAAGCAAGGAGTTAACCTGCTACCTGTGGATCCCAGCAGAGCAGCTGTGTTTACGAGGGTGCAGCACACAGCAGCGGCATCATCGTGACTGTGTGGCTCCCCTGCCCCAAATCCCATGGGACAGGGCGAGTGGCCCATAGGAACGTCACACAGACCGAGTTGCACCAGAGTAGAGGGGCCACAGCCACGGGCCCAGAACGTTTTAAGCAAGGAGCAAAGCGGCCAACAGCTGGTACCCTCATCCTGCTGTGGTGACCTGGCTTCTTGTCTGTAGGCCTTGTCACTAAACTCTCCAGGAGAATGCTGCATTTCCCTTGAGGTACAGTTTCTTCCCTACCATTATAGCCTTTGAACCACCAAAAAGACTTGGAAGAAAATATATTTTGAGTCTTACTTTATTTTTTGCCGGCTCAGCCCACCCTGGGGGAGGTGCTAGTGAGGCATGTGGTACTGGGGACTGAACTGCAGTCCTCTGCGCCTGCCTAAGCTTGCCTTAGCAGGCGCTTTAGACCGCTGAGCTATCTCTCCAGCCCCTTCAGTCTTAATTTTAATCCCAAAACAAAATAACCACATCTCTTAGGTTTGGCACACTGGGAATAGTTTCTACCAGACACAAGGCACTCAAATCTTGGACCTCACTCCAACCAATTCCAGTCACAACTATAACTGACTCTGGCTACAGGCATAGAAAGATACGATTTGAGAGTGTGTGAATAAAGAAAATCAAAATCAGTGTCAAAAGTAGCTATCTAAACTCTCCTGGGATGGCAAGATAGCTCAGCGGACTAAGTGCTTGCTTAGGTAAGCTCAGGGACGGGGGTTCAATCCCCAGCACCACATGTCATGCTGGCCCTGCCCCAGAGCACGCTGAGCCACCCCCCGAGACTGGTCAATGTGGTGCACACCTGTAATCCCAGCGCTGGGGAGGCTGAAACAGGAGCATCAGTATGAGTCTGATCTGCGTAGTGAGACCATGTAACAAATACATAAAAAAAGACTCTGTCCTCTTAATCTTAGAGTAATATTTGTAATTTTATCTATTTGTTCTCTAGTCAAACACATTTAGGGGAAAAATAGCACCGCGTAAAGAAAAATCTGAGGCTTTTGAAGCCATTTTGCCTCCTACAAAATCTCAGCAAAACTATATAACTTTTCTGAACTCATGCCATCTCTGTCTGGAATGAGGATAATACGATCCTGAAATACTGCAAGGAATCAAAGATAAGCCGCATGAAACATGCTACCATAATATGGGGACTCTATATATATGTCTCCAGTAATATTCCATGATAATTTGATAAATTCCTTTTCAGGTGTTTGTGAACCACTGGAATTTTGGGTTTATATGCTAAACAGTGGTAGAACTCAGTTCTTACCACACTGTCAAAATGTATTCTATTTTATCTTAAAGAATATAAATATTTCTCCCATATTAGAGCCAATCATTTTGATGGCTATTTTCTTGAACCATATGCCCACATCACAACATATATTTTTGAAACTTTTAAAATAGTAATGCCCTTTAACCCAGGAATATTATTTCTAAGAATTTATGGTAGCATGACAGATACACTCCGTAGATGGTCAGTACTCATTGTTTATAACAGGGAAGGATGGAAACAACAGAATCGTGAATGATAACATTTGCAAAAATATAGAGTATAATGGAGACATCAAGTCATGTTTGAAGGAATATTTAATCATGAGAATTTGCTCAATAGAAAGGGAAGTTGTGAATATACAGCTGCACGGTTGTGGCTGCCTTGAGGTCCTGAATTGATCCAAAATGTTTACTGACGTCCCCACTCTGACTTTGCAGAACAGCCCAGAAGCCACGCAGTGCCAGATCCAGTGCCAGGGCGACACAGTGTTGTCACAAGTCTGTGTCTTGCCTTTGGACGGCACTTGGCAGCCACATTCGCTGTATTTTTTTTTAAAATCATATCTCATAAAAACAGTCGGAGAGGACTTCTAGAACTGCTTCAGTAAGTGGCAAGAATGATGGGCTAAGTGTTTGAAGAAGAGGAGCATTTTTTAGGGGATTAATGGCAATGTGTTTTACTGTAATTTTTAAAAATTAAACATTCACCATATATTTTGATCACCCTTATAGGTTTATTTCTTAGAACTTTATCTTCCAGAATTTCCAGAAAATATATATGTGACATTTTTAATTAGAAAAATACAAGTGAACTTATGCCCAATTCATTTTAAATATGGTATTTCAGATTAATATTTAACATGCAAAGAAAAACTAACTTTGAACACTACCATCGTTATATAACTTACCTTAGTATTTTGTTTCGCTTCACCAAGAAAACAGCTGGATAAAAGATTTCTTAAAAAAAAAAAAATTACGCTTGTGCGGGGTAGCTTTGGAAAGCAGAAAAAGCACAGTTTTGGGTTTCAACTGACCTGTGTTATTCTGGACAAGTGACTTCTGGGTGTGTTTCCTCGTGGCTAACTTGGGGCTGTAGAATTAAAGAAATCGAATACCCGGGCAAAGTTAAAGTGACGCCACCTCCTGCATCCTTACACAGGCGAGCACAACTCTTTCCACATGTGCATGCATTTTTTTCTCGCGTCCACCCTAAGGACGGCACTGCACTGGTTCCAAAGCCTCCTCACAGCTGACGACACAGCCCGAGGGCGCGAGGACCCTGTCCAGCACCTGCTGTGGTGGGCGGTGGCCCTGAACCAACCTGCCCGGACGTCTTCCTCCGGAGGTGACAGGCACCGCTCGCGTCTGGACGTCCCCCTCGGGGCTGCGGGAGGGCTGCCCTTCCCGACTCGCGGGCCGAGAACTGCAATGGCATTTCCGGTCGACGATCTGGAGCCCGAGAGCACAGGAAAAACAGATGTGGTTCCGCTTGATGCCCATCAAGAGGTCGATCACCCCGCACCGGGGTAACCGTACCCGCCCCATCACAAGCCCTAGGGAGTCCACCACACCTTATTCTACACTCAGCTAGACCTCATCTCGGCTCCCCTACACTCGCCCCTCCCACTGCCTTTAAAAATGGTGAACCGAGCTGCTAGACTTGACAACACTCAGGAAGAAGGGCGTGTCCTCCAAACATAAAAATGCGTGCGAATGAGGGACTCGAGAGCTTGGGTCTCATTGTCGCGATTAAGGAAGGCCAAGTAACCTCGCCGTTATCCGAGCTGGCGAGTGATCACGTCTACTACCGGGCACTCGGGGCGGGGAGCAAACGAGAAGCCCCGGTCTTTGCAGACTCGCAGAGTCCCGCGGGCGAAACCCGCCGCTGACTTCCACACCAGTTCGCGAGCTGTCAAGACTGTTCAAATTCCCGCTTCTCTTCCGGTTGCTAGGATACACCGCAGCCACCTTCTCCAATCAGCACGCATCTTCTTTACGTCCAATCACAGAAGCCAGAAGAGCTGGGGTGGGAGGTGAAAGGTCACGCCGCTGCGCGGCGGCCATTTCTCTAGACGCTCCGCGGCTGGTTTCTACAGCGGCAGCTCTAGACACGAGGAGTCGGCGGCAGCTGGGTCGGCGGAGGGGGGTCTACAACGTCCGCCCGTATTCGCGATGGTGAGGAACGAGAGACCTGCTGAGGAAAGAGAACGAGGGGCGGGGGCGACAGTCCGGCCGGGCCTGGGGTTGCTTCGCGCCTTCGCCCATTCATCCGCGCGGGGCGCCTGGCCCTTCCTCGCCGCTCTGGGCTTCCGAGGCGCGCGCCCCGGGCGACGCGTTTCCCTCCCCTGAGAACCTCAGCCTCCTTCCCGCTTTTTATATTGGATCCCGGCTTTCGGTCCTTCTTACTCGTTGAGTTGATAAAAGGTCGGAGTAAAACTGAAGCTCATTTTCGCTCTCCGCCCCGCAACACTGCGGAACCGCCGGCCCCTCTGGTTACTGGGAGCCTGGCCCGAGGCCCGCTGAGGCCTTGGAGCTTTCGTGGGCTCGTCCAGCGAGTGTCATTGACATGCTGCCTGCCGGCTACTGACTTTGGGCTTTAGGAAGGTGGGGTGCAGACTCCTGTAGACCCTGTTGGGGATGAACTCAGTCGGGTGTGGGAGGTGGACTTTAGCCAAATAACAGAAATATGCGGGTGTAAGTAATGGTGATGGAGGGCAGCAAGTGAGGATTCTGAGAGAGGGCGCGGGGGGCCCATTAAAGGGTAGGTCAGTTGGTCTGACCAGGACGTGGTTGGTCTCCCAAGGAGTGGGGGGTTTAACCCGAAACCGGGAGCAGGAGTGAGACCCTGCGGCCGGCCGCAAAGAGAGCTTGAGATGTTGGAGAGGTTGACAGAAAGGTGCACGGGCTTGCAGAAAAACAGTGGTTCTCAGATGGGGTGTTGGAAGGATTTGTCTGTTCCAACTGCAGTTGGCAGTCACGTAGTTAGGTGTGTTACACAGAAATGACTTGTTTAGATGTAGACTTTTAAAGGGGTAATAAACTGGAGTGAAATTTGGGGGTCCCCTTAGGAGGTTATTGGGACTGAGTCCAGTGTTCTCTGGTTTATTAGGCAAGGTTCTTGTCTGTTTCTTTTCGTTGGGATGAGCAGATGAGAAAGAAATGTCAGAATTCACCGAGTACTGGTGGTGGTGTATGCGGTAGGCTGGTTTTGAGTGATTTCATTAAGAGATCTTGCTCTTGATAGAAAATCAAAGCTTACAGCATTAAAACGAAAGACTGTATGGTGTGATCCCCTCCCTGCTCGTGTAGCCTTTTATTTGGGGCACTCACAGACAGTTCAGAATGTTTCTGTGTCTTCTGAGGTTATCTTGTTTATCTTCCTCGTTTTGACATAGGCTCCCTATCTGGAACAGTTTTTTTTCTGTGGAGATAACCTCACCCTTTGTGTTTTTTTTTTGTTTTTTTTTTACTTTTTTTAATATTTAAAAAAAATCTTTATTTGGTACAGGGTCTTGCTATGTGGCTTGGACTTGTACTGCTCCTCCTGTTTTCAGCCTCCCCAGCGCTAGGATTACAGGCCTGTGTCACCATGCCCAGTTTTGGTGTGCCAGCGTTGTGGGGCCCACAAGGCATACAGATGGTATCAGTGATTGAACTTGGGTCCTTGTACTTGCCAGGCAGGCAGGTAGACCACCCAGCTATCTCCCTAGCCCCCAACCTCACCCTTTAAAACTAAGGTATCTTTTATTTCAGGCACCCTTCCTGTTGCTTTTTTCCCTGGTGAGATACTCTCACCTTGCGCATAGCATTTCTCATCTTACATGTAGCATTGTGCAGTATAAATGTTTGTTGGAGGACTTCTGTACCTCTTAGAACCCCTCTTTTTGGAGATGCTTTGACTTGTGTTTCTATAGAGCTTGGAACTGAGTGATGTGGGTCGTGTTTCATTTGGATATCGTGTTAATGTGTTTCATATGTTTCATACACTGACACAGACATTAGTGTGTCTGTGTACTGGGGATTGAACCCAAGGCCTGGTAAATGTTAAAGAAACAATTTCTGAGCCACAACCCCTGCCCTTGGATACCATAAAATACTGATTGGTAAGTGGTAGAGGAGAATGGGTGATGGATGCTGAGCTAAGGAAAAGGAATCAGTGGTGTCCTTTTCTTGTTCTTCACAGAGTTTACCCCTCAATCCCAAGCCTTTCCTCAACGGATTAACAGGAAAGCCAGTGATGGTGAAGCTGAAGTGGGGGATGGAGTACAAGGGCTACCTGGTCTCCGTAGATGGCTACATGAACATGCAGGTGAGCTGATGAATGAAGAAGGCTACACATTTCTGTTTCTTTTGCTGTAACTTATTGTTCAAGGATTTGGTGTAACAAAGAATATATGCAATTAAGTTGATAAAGGTAAAGCAACATTCAGGAATTAAATGGAGGCCACAGAAGGTGTTACAAGTATGAGGCACTAGGTTAAGACCTAGAGTTAAATCAGAATTGAGCCACACATTTCATTCATAGTGGTTACGGAAACACTTTGATATTTGATCCATAATGCCACAAGGAAGCACACTAGTTTGCTGGAGAAAACAAAGCTTCTCAGTATTTCTGGAAGAAATTTTTTGGGAAGGGAAATCATGCTAAACGTACACCATAGAAAGCATTTCTTCATAGGGAAGACAGATCAACCAAAGAAATGAGTTGACTGAATACCTATTATAGTAGTTTCTGTAAATGTTTCAGCATTTTTCTCCCCCACAGAACTTATTTAAAATTTCCCCTATGGACCGTTTTTCAAATGTATGTTCAGTAGTTGGAAGTACATTTACTTTGCTGTACAGCCATCACCATTATTTGTTTCTAAAACTTTTTCACATCTAAAAATAAAACTAATCATTAAAAAATAACTCCCCCTTCCTCTCCAGGCCCGTGATAACCACTCTTGATTCTGTTCTGTGCGCCTTTGTCTTTCTCAGTACCTATAAGTAGAATGCTAGCGTACAGTCAGCTGTGTGCATCTGTGGGGTCCGTTTGTGCAGGTTCCATATCTGTAGATTCAGCCAACTGCAGATTGAAAATACAGATATTCCTCCTTTAGTGACCTGCCTGCTCAATTGGTCACATTTATGACCTGCTACTTGGATTTGCAAACTTTTTTTTGTACTGTTTTGTCCCATCTCGATAGAGGCACAATATCATTTTGTATAATACATCTTGTTTATACAGTACTATAATTTTTGCTCATTGTACTGTATCAAGTTGTACTGTAGTGGGTCAGCGAGATAGTTTAGTGGACTAAGTGCCTGCTTAGGCAAGCACAGGGACTGGGATTCAGCCCTGGCCCTGACCCCAGTTGTGCTGAGCCAGCCAATGAGACCAGGCCTGGTGATGCATGCCTGTAATCCCAGCACTGGAGAGGCTGAAAATAGGAGGATCACTAGGAGTCTGAGCTGCATAGTGAGACCCTATACCAAATACATTTTTTTTTAAAAAAAAAGCACTATAGTTTTATGTTCTGTTATATAGTACAGTACTACTACATGTAAGGGCAAACTCATCAAGCTGGAGTTTCCTTTGACTATTTCTGAGTATTGTAATGTACATACTATGTATACTTCCTGACTTAGCAACCCAAATTAAGCAACCTGATTTAATTTGGTCATTAAATGGGGAATGACTATGGCGGAGTTGCATCTATACTGAACATGTGCAAGTGTTTTTCTGGCCATTGATCTGTTAACAGTTGTTTATATAGCATTTACACTGTGTTAAGTATTATAGGATCTAGTGATAATGCCATAACCTGATGTGATCTCAAGTATTAGAGATGCTGTGAAAAAAAAAGCAGCAAGGGAGTGGCAAAGTATGCAATAGTAGAAAGGCTTGCCTTTCTGAGTGTCTTAGTTACTGTTTCGTTGTTACCCAGTACTTGCATGTTAAGAGAGAAAGTGTTTGTGTAGCTCCCAGTTCATAGAGAGGTTTCAGTCCAGTTAGCTGGCTTCAAGGCAGGGCTGTATGGCAGAGGAGAAAGACCTCTTGGCATGGCAGTGGCAGGGCGAGATCAAGGGAAAGGGTTGGGGTACACATAGACACCCTTCCAGGCTGCGCCCACAATGACCCACTCTCAGTGACCCACTCTTCCTAGCAGTCTTTTTTTTTTTTTTTTGGCGGAACCGGGATTGAACTCAGGTCCTTGCGCCTGCCAAGGAAGCGCTTATTCTACTGAGCCATCTCCCCGGCGCCTAGTTCCTAGCAGTCTTCACCTCCCCAAATCACACCCAGCCATAGACTCACTGATGTCTCACTCCCATGCTCCAGTCACTGCCCCAAAGTCGCATCTGTACGTATAAGTGGCTTTGAGGGGACATCTAGATATTAACCATGACACAAAGAAGTGAATTTAAGCCCAGACTGGAAGTAGTAACCCGAGAGTATCTGGGAAAGAGCATCCAGTGTGAGGGGACAGCAGGTGCTAGGCTCCTGTGGCAGGGCTTGCTTGGTGTGTTCAGGAAGAGCCAGGCACAGCGGCAGAGTGAATTGGGAACAAAGAGAGTTGGGTTGGGGTGGCAGTCACTGAAAGCCTTGTAAGCAGTGGTGAGGGCTTGGAATGTGATACATGGTAGCCTTTGGAACATTGTGAGTAATTTAAATAAGCCGGGCAAGGCATACCTATACAGTAGGATCGGTGTGAGTTTGAGAGTAGCCTGGGCTACCGTGTGAGCTCAAGGCTAACCTGAACTACATAGTGAGACCTTGTCTCAAAAAGAAAAAAGAAACCTGTTAAATGTTGGAGAACATGGTAAAAATAATGTCTTTTTTAAACATTATGCATTATTTTGGGTTGCTGTCCCCAGTCATCTCAGGTACCATATTTAAGATGACGCCATATTCTTGGTTGTGGGCGCTGACTTGGTTTTCAACAAAGCCATAACATCAGTGGAAGTACCACTCATAAAGTGCTTTACACGAGCTTCATCTCCTCAAAGCTCTATTTTCCTTTCCCTTGTTCACTCACCTACTTATGTAGAAAGTGAAAAATCATGAAAAACTTTTTAAAAGAGAAATGAGAGCCGGCCAAATAGCTCAGCGGATTAAAGCGCCTGCTTAGGCAGATGCAGGGACCTGGGCCTGCCGTGCTGGCCCCCCCCATCACATGCCTGTAATCCCAGCATTTGGGAGGCTGTTAACAGGAGGATCACTGCAAGTCTGATCTATACAGTAAGACCCTGTAGACCCTGTCCTAAAATAAAAATAGAAAAATAAAAGAGAAGTGACGTAAATTTGCTTTTTTTTCTAGTTTTTTTGAGCCCCAGCTAACACTGGGAGTGATTTTAAGTATTGTAGGTAAATTTTATTACCTATATGTAGAAGAAAATCTAAACATTTAAAATGAGAAATGACAGAGATCCCAGAAAAAACTCTACAGGTCATGCTTAACTTTCAACTCCTCTTTAAGAACTTGCTTTTTCCTTATACATTATTTTACAAGATGAAAGCTGCTTCCTCAACATGCTGCTCTGGTGTACGATAGAAATAACACAACCTGGGAGGCTTTAACAACATTTAAAACAAGCTTTATTATATATATAAGGTTTACATTCATGTATACTACTTAAAACCAAAAAGAACTATAACAGTAATAGAAAGCTAATTAATTATTTGTTACAGATAAATTTGAAGTGTTGGTATACAAAGGTCTCAGTTAAATTTCTCTCACCAATATATTTTACTCCTGTGCAATTATGCTAATATATTTCTTTTTTAAAGCTTGCAAATACAGAAGAATACATAGACGGGGCATTGTCTGGACATCTGGGTGAAGTTTTAATAAGGTAAGATGTAGCAGTAGTGTATGTGAAGTTACTGGTGAGCGTTAGAAGTACCTGTTCAATTAGTTCCTTAGCTGGGAACCACATTTTTATTGCTATTAATTTCATATAGTACTCTATAACTAAAGTGCAGAAATCTTTTGAAATTGTAAATTGGTCAAAGGTAAAATTTAAGTGCTTCAGAGTTACAATATCCTAAAGATTTTTCTTGTATTAACGTTATACTTTCTGGTTCTTGGCTGTATCCTCTTTGAGTGGGCTTTGTTACCAGAACTTAGTTTTGAATTCTAGTTATTTTGGTTCCTAAGGAGGTTTGTAATGCCCATTTTTTTTAGCACTAGCAAGCCTCAAATTCTAGTAATTACTCCCTTTAGAAAGTCATAAAGATGTCACTTTATGGCAGTCGCATGGTAAATAAATAAATGTCAGTATGATTTTTAACAAATCTAGGTAAAAGGTTTTAGAAGGAGTGATACAAATTTAGCTTTTAAGTGTTATCATAATGAAAAAGTTAGCAGTGGTAACTCAGATCATGTGTGGTTTCTTGGTGAAATAACAGTGGGCTGTTTTTCTGCTTCCAGGTGTAATAATGTCCTTTATATTCGAGGTGTTGAAGAGGAAGAAGAGGATGGGGAAATGAGAGAATAGCATCTTTTGTGTGTTTGTTTTTATATATATATTTCTAGACAATAAAGATGTGTTGTTTTTCAACTTGACTTTGTAACTATCATGTATATATTTACATGTGAAGCTCAACTGGGTTAAAACAGTTGAAAAGTAATTCACAGAACTAATCCTTTACAACCTACCAATTTCATTTAAGTTGGTTTTCTTTTGTAAGCACAGTACTTTTCTATAGCAAATAATTGTAAACTTCAGACCTTTTTTTTATGAAGGTGTATTTCAACCCTTTTTCTATTGTGTATTAACTGATACCTTTGAAAAATGTTGTTTTTGAACCACTTTAACATTTTCTTAATATTAGTTTAGTAGGTTACATATTCCATTTCAGTGTAAGCTAAATTATGTACACATTGTGGCTAAAATTACGTCTCAAAATTAAAATATTGTGAAGATAGGGCACAGAGAAATTCTGAAATGACATTTAGGCTGAATACGTAAGATTTGTTCACATAAGAAAGTAAAATTTTCTGAATAGAACTTAATTTGAAGTAAAGACCAGTTCTGAGACATAAGGTAGTAGTGTTCACTTGTGTTTAAACCCTTCAGCATCCTTCAGATATTTTAAGAGTTGTCCATTGTTAAAAGGTACACACCCTAGCGATAACTGCTATGAACTTCCTCACAGACCACTTGAGGTACTAATGCATCATCATCGAAATTCTCTTTACCAGAAAAAGATGGTACTGCACTTAAATGGCCATTCCCATTAGGTATTTCAATATGGTCGTTCTGGATATGTATGTAGAAGGCAACCTAAATTATAAATGATTAACTATGTGGCATAATAATTGTGAATAACTGGAAACTTCAACAGAAGAAAGTAGCTCTCATTCCCAAACCTGCATCCAGCCTTCCCAGTAAGGACCACTCTTGGATTGTTGGGGCAGAATGTTTCCACTGATGAGAGCCAGAATCTAACACGTTCTGGTAGTAAAATACCTTATTGCTCCCATTCAACTAAAAAAAAAAATCTTCCTCTTGTGATTTTGTTTTTGAATCACTGAGCAAGAGGATTCTGTGTCTGCTACTGGATGGTGGTTTTGAACGGAAGATGAGTCGTCTTCCCACCTGGAACAAGAAAAGCAAACCATTTTCTGTGAAAGTGCGTAAGATACTAATAGTAACCTCAATTTTATAAGGAGTAATATGGCTTAAAATACTCGGTAGTCATTTACAGGTACAAGGGGAGTAATAGCCTCATGGGTGTCCACTGCTAGGCCAAGGTAAGTAGTGAATTGAGCGCCCCTAGGCAGAAGACAGCGGTGGGTTTGAAGGAGTAGGGTGATGGAGGTAAAGGCAGCCAGCAGCATGTGACCCCAGGAAGGGTCACATTGGAAGCCATATGTCATTTCTCGAATTGTCACAGCCCATTTTTCCTTCATGTTTGAGAAATTTCTTTCTTGGTGTTCACAAGTCTTGTTAAAAAATAACCTCAGAAAATGACTATCTGCAACAGCAGTGTTAGTGCTGATTCTTGGTACTTCCCTACCAGAAGAGGTTTAGGGAAGCCCCAGGGTCACAGCTGCACTTTCTGAAGCATATATACTCAGGTACACCACTGAGGATCCCCCTTCTGTTTTTATCTTGCTTTTGTAAGTGGAGTGGTACCTTTACTAATAAACTTGAGATTTGAGGGACCCTCACTGCTCAGAGGGGTATGATGTTGGCAGCACAGTTCTCATGTGACGCTTTGCATTGCAGAAGTGTTGACGTTGCTGGTCTCCAGCGACCTAGTAACTGTCACTTGTCCATCACGACAGAAATGCCCTTGTGGGATTGGAACCCTGCAATTCCTTTTCTAATGTCAGAGGTTTTGAAATTGTCAGTGGTCTTTGGTAACACTGATTAACATTGCCTATGACGAAGTGTCCTGAGGGTATGTGTAAACAGAGGTCTGTGTGTTGACACAGGACAGTCATTCTTGCAGGTTCAGTTTTCTTTCTCATCTTCATCTGGGTGTTCACTGTGTGCCAGACACTGGTGATGTAAAGGGCATGGATGTCATGGTCTAGAAGGAAAGGTGGCTCTTTTTCAAAGTTGGGTGTGGCAGGATTACTGAGTAGTAGGTCATGTGGAAGCGGGCAGTGGTTAATCTCTGTGGAGGAGAGAACCTGAGGAAAATTCGTAGAAAGAACTGAGGTAAGTTACTTTGGATAATACACTTATTTAAATAAAGTATTTTAGGATAATTGCCACTTTCTGACATTTTAACAGTTACTGTCTCTCAGAACTTTTTTCAGATTCTTCCCTGAAGAGGCTGCTTGTAAGCACATTCTATTCAGTAGCTGTTACACAGTAAGAATCACATGGCCACCCCAGCTTTGCAGGTGACTGTGGCAGTGTCCTCCTGCATTCTGTTTCAGACCCTGCCCCAGAGGAGAGTGGCACACGAGACAAAAGCCCATCTTCCCAGTGTAGCAATCACAGGCCACAGGTCCATGTCTGCCTGATCCCAAACTTCTGCTTGGATGTGTTCACGTGGTACAAAGGCTGGTGGCTGGTGGCTTCAGGCGCTGGCGATCTTGGTGGTAAGCGTGCTTGTCCGTGCGTGATGCTTGGCTCAGTCTTGCTACAGCTGGTTAATCAAGTTGGTTTTTGGTCCCAGTTCTGCTAAGTCAGCGATGACCAAGCAAATCATTTTAACTAATTATCTGAACAGTGTAGGAATTAGAAGGCCTTTCCAGTGACATGTAATTCTCTGAATTCACTGTACAAAGTGAGTGAAAGCACAATTCATAGCTATGATTATAAGAAAATTGAGTATTGTAATACATAGTTGTTACAAGGTTAGCAGTACATGTTTTCAGTAAATAACTACTGCCTTTCTTGTGGGGCTCTTACATGTACACAACGCATCTTCATTCCTTTCCCTTCATCTCTTGGTCCCCTTTCCACAGAGAAAGACGTGTCTCTCTACTTCCTTTTATCTCTTATTCTGGTCTTTGCATTTCTGAGTTCATATAAGAGACACCATGTGGTATTTGAGCTTGGGTGTCACATTTCCTTAGACATTATGGCCTCATCGGCATCCATTTTCCTACAAAGGACTCAGGTTTATTGGGACAGTGGCACCCCAGCGAGGGTAGATACCACATTTTCTATCTGTTCATCTGTTGGTGGGCATATAGGCTGTTTCCAAGATTCAGCTATGAGGAGCTGTGCTGCTGTGAATGTGAGTATGCATGAATCGCTGGAATGTGAGGTCTTTAACTCTTGGGAAAATACCTAGAAAGGGAATAGGAGGGTCAAATAGAACTTTTGTTTTTAGTTTTCTGTAGAGTCTTTGTACTGGCAGTTGTCATTTACATTCCCACCAACAATATAGAAGGGCTCCTTTTTTTACCACAAGTTCACCAGCATTTGTTATTATTTGATTTTTTGATGATAGTCAAAAATCTTCCTTGGATAAGACAGAATCTCAGTGTTTGAATTTGCGTTTTCCTGATGGTCAGTGATGGTGAATATTTCTTCATGTGTTTATTGGCCATTTGTATGTGTGAGAAGTATTACTCATTTCAGTTACTCATTTTTTGATTGGGCTTCATACTTGGGAGGGATGTAATTTTTTGAGCACTTTATATATTTTAGATACTAGTCTTCTGAGGAATAGCTGGCAGAAAATTTTTTCCCACTGATAGGTTGTCTCCACTCTGGTTGTTTGCTTTGCTGTACAGATGATGTAATTTGCTGTGATCCCATTTTTTGGTTATTGGTACCGTTTCCTCTGACACTGGGGTTCTTTTCAGAAAGTTCTTGTGTATGCCTATGGCTTTGGGAGTTTTACCTTCCAGCATATTGTTAATTGCTTTACCATTTAGATCTTTGCTCCATTTTGATTTTTAGTACACGGTGACAGATCTGGATGTAGACTCCGTCTTCTGCATGTGGTTAGCAAGCTTCCTCAGCACCATTTATAGAGACACTGATTTTCCTCTAGTGTGTTTTTTGACCCCTTTGTCAGCAATCAGTTAAATGAGCTGGTGTCTGCTGCTTCTCTTGTTACCCGTCAGTTCACGTCTGTTTCTGTGTTAATCCCATGCTGTTTTTACTGTAGCTTTGTAATATGACTTCCAATCTAGGCTTGTGGTGATGCATTTTGCTTTGCTCTTATTACCCAGGACTGCTTTTGTTATTCTGGATTTCTTGGATTCATGTGAATTTTAGGAGCATTTTTTCCAGCTCTAAGAAGAATGTTATTGGTATTTTGATTGTGAGTGCATTAACTCTGTTCGTCAGTTTGGGAAGTGTGGCCATTGTAATTACTGTTCGGCCTATCCAGAAACAGGGAATATCCTTCCATATTCTGATTCCTCTTTGAACTCCTTTTTTAGAGTACTGTAGTTTTTACTATAGAAGTCTTTCAGTTCTTGAGTTAGCTTAATTCCTAAATATGTGCTTTTTTTTTTTTTTTTTGATACTGCCATGAATGCTATGGTTTTCCTAATTTCTCAGTGAGTTCATTGGTATACAAGAACACTAATTGATGTTTTTAGGCAATTTCTTGGTTTTATTGAACATGGTGCCAGTCCTCCAGAAGACTCCTAGAATAACCAAGCTCAGCATAACAATAGAATACAAAATCAAGGCACAAAAGAATCAATAGTGTATTTTGTATAAGGTATAGTATTGATTTGTGTGTGTTGATTTTGTAGCCTACTGCATTGCTGAATTTGATTATTCTAGGAGTCTTTTGGTAGAATATTCTTGCATAGATACTGATGCAGAAAATTTAATAGTTATTGCCTCCAAAAAGGGAAACTGAGGAAGATTTATTTCACTAAATCCTCTCGCATCTTTTGAACTTTGAGCCATATGCCTGTATTGCCTGTTCAAAAAAAGGCATTAAAAGCGGCTTCAGGACTTGAGGATTAAAGAAAGAGGAGAGGGAAGAGGCTGCTTTTAGTAATAAGTGTGTCTAGTAGAGAACTGTAAGTCTAGTAATGTGAATCACTCTGAAATAGCAGGGAACCAGAGTGAGGCCATTTGAAGCCACGGGCTGGGAAGACTCGCTTGCAAGTTCCGCCTAGGAAAGGTACAAGGATAAGGTGTTTTGTTTCTGTACCATGCAAGCACTCGTACTGATGTGTGGCGGGATCTAGTGGTAAAACACACACCTTTTTCTTTGGTTGTGCTACTGCCCTTTCCAGAGCAGCCTTTAGCCTTTCTTCTTGGTATCTTTGTTTTTCTTTCATTTTCTCTTCACGCAACCTGTCATAGGAGGGAAGGAACATTTTCATATAATTTTTTCCACAATTTACAGAAATGGAAGATCAACATCATTACTCCTTAGTAAGAACTAAGGCCTCCCATAAGAATAGCCTTAGAGTCCTCCTGCCAATCTTAAATCCTGTCTGAAATGGGGAGAAATTTCATTTTGCCACTCTACAAAAAGTAAAGTCTACCCAGATCTTGGTCTGCAAGACCAGCCCCTTTTCACAGCACTCTGTGCTTGATGGCCACTTAAATTGCAGCTGTCCCCAGCATCCCCTTAGAGCCTTTCCCCATCAGAATAGCAGTCATGCAGAGAACCATGCGGATCAGAAGTGTAGAGCTCAGGGTGCTCGCATGACAGTGTTCGTCCCAGTTAATCTTTTCAGATGATATCCCTCACTTAAGACTAATAAATCCTACTTGCCTTACCCTGTTTAGGGACAAATGTACACAGATTGTCTAGTGACAAGGCTTGTTGCACGGCAGGCACCTGACACAAAATGCTGCACAGTTACATCCTAAGTGGGAGACTATGTCCTATGGGACGGGAGTAATATTTATGGAGCATTTTATGTGCAAACTTGGGGGCTATGGTAGGTGCCTCTAACCAGGAGGAAATCAACTAAAATACTTCTCAAACTAAAATTCTGTTCATGAAAATAAATGGAATTAGATTCATGTCTTACTGCTGAAAATAAGTTGTAATTAAACTGAAGAGAATATATTTGCTACTGTAAAAAGCATACAAGTAACTGCTAATAAGTTCTTGTTGGGCTTTTTTTTTTTCTTCTCTTCAGTTTATGTATTTGGTACAGGGTCTCAGTATGCAGCTTGCACTTGTAGCGGTCCTCCTGTTTTCAGCCTCCCCAGCCCTGGGATTACACGCTTGTGCCACTATGCCTGGTCTCAGTGGCCAACTCAGCGTGTCTGGGGGCGGGGCCGGCACGGCATGTGGTGCTTGGAATTGAACCCCAGTCCCTATGTTTGCCTGAGCAGGCACTTCGTCCATTGAGCTCTCTCACCAGCCCTAGTTGGTTATCTTGGGAAGGTGTAATCCTCCATTTACTCATTGTTAAGTTTGCTTTCTATTCAGTAAGACCCTAGCAGGATCACCTTAATATATTCTGGACTATTTATATGGGAGAAACAATATTTCCCACGTTCCAGTAATGGAGTCAAAGGGAGGTAGCTGGGAGGGGGATTAAAAAGGAAAGCTTATACACTGAGTTATATACATGTTCCTGCTCCCCAAGGTGAATGTGGACTTCCTGTCCTGTAATCCTGTACTTGTAGAAACAACATCATACCTATCACTAAGTGCTAACATCTGAGGACTTGCTATGTGCCAAGGACGTTCAGTGCTTTTCCATGGACTATATAATCCTCATCTAACAACCCTATGGGATAAGTAGCATTGTTGCTACCACTTTACGGATAAGAGACTGGAGGAGACCCTGGGTGGTGGGCGGTCCTGGCCGAGTGAGAAGTTTGCTAAGGGTGGAATTGAGCAGAGGTGGCTATTCATGAAATCATTCCCCCAGCTTCCTCTCAAGCCAGGGACATACTTTTGCCGCCGTTCCTTCTGCTTGAGCCTCTCAATTGCTTCCACGTTTTCCTTGGGAATGGCCTCAATGAGGTCGCTCAGCTCCACCATGCGGGACTCCACCTTGACCAGCTTCTGAACGGGGTTCAGGCTGCCGACCTCGGCTTCGCCAATGCACACCTTGTACACTTGATTGATTTTCTTACTAAGCGAGTCGATCAGCTTTTCCTGCGTTTGAGAACAGAAGAGCAGAAAACATCACATCGCAACAAATAAGTGGAAAATTCCATTGTACTATGGTAGAATGAATGGAAAGGTCATTTTATTAAATTTTTTTGGGGGGGATGAAACCCAGGGCCTCACTGCGTGCATACAAAGCATGTACTCTACTGCTGTCCTACACCCGGCCCCTTTTAAAAGAAAAGCTTTGGTAAGGCAGACCAGTGAAAAAATGCAGCAGGTATTATAATCACATTAAAGACATTTATATCATAATTTAGAGTAACTTTGCATTGTTTTCTTAAAAAACATTTAATGGTAGATAAACAGTCTAAGAAGACAGAGTATCTTTTTGCTTGAACGTTTTTGTGTATCTGCTTCCCTTACATTCAAGTAAAGGCAGCGTGTACATTTGAAATCCTTTCAAGCCCCTAGTGACACAATGTGTGAGCCCCTTTTTTTGCATTTCCTACTTGAATTGCTAATCCTAAGTCATTGTGTGTCTCAGTTCCTTGCACGCTGGCCTGGTGACAGAGACCACGTCCTTGCTGTAACTACACACTTGGTAAATGAATGCAGTCTTTCAGAGAAAAATGTATACAAACAAGTGGACTCCCAGGTGGCCTACCAGGGCCTTTCTGGGTTACTTGTCACCGTCCCCATGGGGAAGTCAGCGCCATAGTCTTCTCTAAACGGAAGCCAAACCTTGCCGATCCCTCTTCTTTGCTTCTGTGTTCTTGTAACTTGCTGGGGACTTGGGCAGCTAAGTAAGTGTGTTTCAGGACCATAAAAAAGTTGTCACTCTTTCTCCCCCATGTACCCAGAATTCTTCATGAGAGAACCTCAGTAAACTGCTAGAGGGAGTCATTTTAAGGTTGCATCCTGTCCTGATCCCCCATCTGCTGGCAAAGACGACGAGAATCATGGTCAAGAGCAAATCTCCGGGCTGGGGCAACGGCTCAATAGCGCAAGGCCCTGCCTGGCAAGCACAAGGTCCTGAGTTTGATTTCCAGTACCAAAAACCAAAACAACAACAACGAAACCAAATTCTGTCACATCCAAGACAGTGTGGCTCACAGAGTGCAGGTCCACTAGCTCTCTACAGCCCCTAGGATTTATTAATGGCTCTGTTCCAGTCCCAAGAATGGACTGCCTCTGCTGCCTCTGAGTTTAACAAGCTCGCACAGTCCTGTTTACCTCACGTCTTCTTTCCTATTTCTATGAAAAATACAGTTCTTTTGGAAAACATGGAGAAATACAAAGTAATAAGCAAAAATCCTATTTGCCAGAAAGCCCCCTTTTATTCCTCCCTAAGATAACATGTTGTGCTTCATGTTTATATAATACTACATTCCTTTTGGAAAGCTTGGGCACAGACACACCAAAGAATATAAAAGGAAAAAAGTGAAAGTAATCCATCAGGTTGAAATATACACCACATATGAAAAAAGTCCCTGTTGTGTAAATAATTAAAGCAGTAAAATACATGGTGATTTTTGTATGGAACGCTGGTTTTGAGAGAAAACAACTTTAATATAAGAATGGTTAGTGGTGATGGAAATTTTTTTTTTTTTTTTTGCAGAACCGGGGATTGAACTCAGGCCCTTGTGCTTGCCAGGGAAGCGCTTATTCCACTGAGCCATCTCCCCAGCTGGAAATTTTTTTAAATTCAATTTTATTTTATTTTTTTTGAGGAGTAAAACCAAGCAAAAACAAATAGAAAAAAAGGCAAACAGTAACATACAACACTATGTTACAGAATTTCAAAACAGTAGTTAATTAACAATGGTTATATTATCTATTTTTATTGTTAAATCTGTTGCTCAGATTAACCAATATAGTTATGCAAGATTGGACAAATAATTGAATATTAATGCTTGCTTTCCAGAAATTTAATTTTTTTCTTTGTCTTTTTAAAAACATTATTTTAAAGAGAGTATAATAACTGTAAGACATTAGAAATGATGCACATTTACAAGACCAAGGTGTGAGGTATTCAACCGTGGGTTTTGTGTTACACATTGCTGTCCTTGATTTAGTTGCTCAGATTGCAGATATCAGCATACAGAGTTAGTCAAGGTGAAAATTCTAAACATTAGCTTCGGGCTGGTGAGATGGCTCAGTGGTCTAAAGCACCTACTTAGAACAAGCTTAGCAAAGCACAGGGACTGTGGTTCAATCCCCCAGCACCACATGCCAGCCAGCGCCGCCCCCTGGTGGGCTGAGCTGGCCACACACACAAATAAATAAAAATCTAATTAAAAAAAAATAAACATTAGCTGCTATTTTCAAAAAACTGATGGAAGGGCTGGGGAGATAGCTCAGCAGATTAAGCACTTGCTTAAATAAGCACAGGGGTCAGGGTTCGATTCCTGGTACCACATGCCGTGCTGGCCCCACCCCCAGGTACACTGAGCTGGCAATGGAGGCAGTGGAGTCCGGGCATGATGGCGCATGCCTGTAATCCCAGCACTAGGGAGGCAGAAAACAGGAGGATCACTGCAAATCCGAGCTGCATAGTGAGACCCTGCACACACACACACGCACGCACGCACACACACACACACACACAGAACTAAAAGAAAAAAAAACTGATGGAAATTATTAGTAAATCATTTCAGCCGTCCTGTATATATACTTGCATGTTTCCCTCCTTTTTTTCCTGTCTTTTCTCCTTTCTCTCATCTTCATTGTTTAATCCTTAAATTCAATTTCTTTCCGTCTTACTATATCTATTATTCCTTTCAGGTTTTATTATTCTTTCAGGTTCTTAGACCAGGGAGACAATATGATATTTACACATGTGGGTCTGATTTATTTCACTTATGAGTAGTCTCTAGTTATATCCACTTAGCTATAAAGGCTTTGAGTTTGTCTTTCTTTATAGCTGATTAGTAGTCCACTGTATAAAAATATTACATCTTTTTCATCCATTCCTCAAGTGACGGGCATTTTGGTTCTTTCCAAGATCTGGCTATAGCAGATAATGAAATTAAGATCGCAGCTAGGATACCAGCCCAGGTGGAAGCTGGCTGAAGGCGCAAGGGACGTGTGTGCGCCTGATCCCTGGAGCCGCCACCAGATGGCAGGCCGGGCCCAGAGCGCCGGTGAGGAGGCGCTGCCCAGGGAGGTCGCGGCGCGGGCGTGGAAGGGACCAGTCTTCCGCGGGGCGGGCAGATTAGGGAAGCGGGAACCCAGGAGTGGATGTCAGGCGGCCTCGAGCAGTGAGTGGGAGGCGACGCAACCCGAGCAGTGCCTTAAGTGGAGCGCCTAGGAGCACATGGACTTCAGCGCTTCCTCTTTCCTGTCCCGGGATTACGTCATGCTAAGCCTTGTCATTTTCACTGTGAGCTGGCTGCACAGAGCTCTCCTGGCTCAACTCCATCAGCTCCGGGGCAGAAAGAAAAAGCCAGCGGTGAACACCTTCTGCAAGTGGAACAGTGGGGTAGCTTGTGCTCCGCTTCATGTTCCATGAGAACACTGCACACAGAGCTGCACAGATGAGGGGAAGATGGTAGATGTGTGACATGACTCCACTTCTGCGAAGTTCCAGACTGGGAAAGCCAACTGACCGGGAGAGGAGTCAGGGCAGTGGCCACCTCTGGGGGACGGTAGAGAATGGAAGGGGGATAAGGAAGGCTTAGGGGCGCACTGGTAATAGTCCGTTTTCTGATGCGTGTATGTGGGGTGTACGTGACTGGCCACTAAGAGGAACACGTAGGACTTTCAACACTGCATTGTCCTTGAGTTTACATTTGCATTTTAAAAATAAAATACTGAATTAAGGAATAGTTTTTAGAGGATTAAGTGCAGTTAAGAGGGTGGCAGTTTTGAAAGAATAATTGTATGGGTACAGTTGCTTGTAACTATGTTAATATACTAGTAGCAAGTAACTATGTTAATATATTAATATCAAAACTGGAGAAAAATTAGATGCATCACTCATACCACAGTAAAGCTGAAGGCAAACTTTGTACGCAGCTCAGACTCATAGTGACCCTCCTGTTTTTGGCCTCCCCAGTTCTGGGCTTACATGCGTGGGCCAACAGACACCATCTTGGGCAGCAGCTCAGCACGCCCCCGGGGGCAGGGCAGGTGCAGCACGTCGTGCCAGGGATCCAACCCCGGCCCCTGCGCTTGCCTAAGCAGTGCTTAGTCCACTGAGCTATCGCACAAGCCCCACAACAGCTTATTTATTTAAGGATTATGTTTTGTACATTCTGAGATTTTTCAAGCACAGAATGAAAGCTGGAAAATTCTCAGGAGACAATGTTTCCTTTCCGACTTTCCTGTCCTGCCTCCTTCTCTGAGCCCCACACTTTATGAGTCCAGGAAACTACGACACTAGGCCTATTCTGCAGAATGTAAAAAAAAATTGGCATGAATGCACAAACAAAATACGTTACATGCAGTGGAATTCCACCAGCAGAGAAAACACAGTCCTGATCAAGCTGCAAGGTAGCTGAACCCTGAAAACACTGTGTGGTATGAAAGTAGACGCCAAAATAAAAATGCCGTACAGCTCCACTTAAACGAGCTCCTGAGAAAAGCCACATACGTAGAGACCACGAGTAGAACAGTGATTGCCAGGGACTGGTGGAGAGGGGATGGCGAGTTAGTGTTCAAGCGGCACAGAGTTTTGCTTTTGCAAGGTGGAAGTTCCGAGACTGGTTGCAAAATAACACCCGTGTGCTTAACACTTGAATCGTGCATTTAAAAACAGTGAAGGGCTCGGGGGCTAGCTCCTGGTCCAAGGGTCTGCCTGGCAAGCACACAGACTCAGGTTCAGTCGCCAGGGCTGCTGTGATCCCAGCGCTGGGGAGGCTGAGACAGAAGGGTCACTAGGAGTCCAAGCTACACAGTGAGACCCTGTACCAAATAAATAAATAAATGATTTAAAAAAACAAAAAGCAATTAAGATGTTCGATTTTATGTTGAAACAAGGATGAACATGTTCTGAAAGTAGATCAAGGTGTTGGTTATATAACACGGTGAATGTATAAGGGACGATCAAAATATGTGGTGAGTGTTTACGTTTAAAAAATGTATTAAAATAAGACACACATTACCACCAATCCCCCTCAAACCCTCCCCCACCGTCAAACACACGTATCCCTTGCCACATTCTTGCCATGTTCTGAAGCGGGTCTGGAGGTCTCCTTTCATGAATGTCTGTATAAGGCATGATCAAAAATACAGTGAATGTTGTTGCCAAGTGCCATCCAGTGAAAGATTGATTAAAAGATGACCTGTGTGCCCATCCACTGTTCACCAGGTTGGGCACTGACCCTTCTGACACTTCCTTGAAGTCACAATGACCATGAAAGGCCAACAGTTTGCACTGAGTCAGAGGATCGATAGCACCATGATAGCACAACTAAAAACACATGAAAGAGGGCCAGGGAGTAGCTCAGCGGCATAGTGCCTGCCTGGCAAGCGCAAGGTCCCGAGCTTAACCCCCAAAACACTCATAAGGGAGGACTTGCAGAACTGCTTGGGAAAGGGGCAAGAATGGAGGGCTAAGTGTGCGCAAAGCGAGGGATCAAGGGCAAGGCGTATTTTACTATAATGGTAAGTTTTAAATATTCACCATGGTTTTGGGTCAAACCTCAAACTTCACGACATTAAATTCTATAATTTAAAACATTTATGTATTTGGTACAGGGTCTCATTATGCAGCTTGGATTCATAGTGATCCTCCTGTCTCAGCCTCCCCAGTGCTAGAATTACAGGCAAGCACCACCACGCCCCTTCTTGGTGGCCAGCTCAGTGAGCCCGGGGTGCGGCTGACACGGAATGTGGTACTGGGGCTTGAACCCGGGTCCTTGCACTTGCCTAGGCAGGCACTGAGATTGCTGAGCTATCTCTGTGGCCCCAAAATTCTATGATTAAAATGACTAAATGAAAATTTTTATGTATATTTTACCTAGTAAAATAATTATTAAATTAAAAAAAAAAAACAAAAAACAACGTTGAAGGACTGAAGGAGCTCACAGGGCACTTTTCCTGTACCAATGCATGATCCCACCCTCCGCTGACTCGCATGGTAACACCACGGACTGTGTGTGTGTGTGTGTGTGTGTGTGTACGCGTGTGCACCTGTGCTAGGGAGCCATACACAGTGTTTGCTTTTTGTAACCCTGCCCACCTTAGGTAGCGGGGATCATTCGCGCCACCCTGATACAGTCTCTCAAACCTACGTGTCTATAAATCAACTTCACAACAATAAGTGCGATATGGGTTCCACCTATCAGCCTTGAACTTTTATTTCACTCCAAGTTTTTACAAGAAAACCGACAGTAAATGGAGTTTGTTGTGGGTTAGGAAAAAAAAACCAAACACCCTAGTGATTCATTCAACAAACTTTTACTGAGCACCGGCTTTGTGGGAGCACTGAACGAAGCTGACTAAGAAGAGTAAGACAGTCCTTGAGGTGGAGGGACTCGCAGCCAGGGGTGAGGTCAACTTGTTAGTACGCATTGTGTTAGCTGGTTGTGGTGGTGCACACCTGTGATCCCAGCACTGACCAAGGGGGCTGAGGCAGGAGGACTGCTGTGACTTCGAAGCCAGCCAGGGCTACACAGTGAGCCACTGTTTTGAAAAATAACCAACCAAGCAACCATCCAGACAAACAAACAAACAAACAAACAAGTGTTGTTCCAGGTGCTGTGATAATGAGCCTGTCTGTTTGGGCCTAAGGAAGCTGCAAGCTGTTCCAGCTCGGCGCTGGGCCAATTTCCCATTCAGTGTGGATTCGCTGTTAATTGTGTTGATTCGCTGCTTCCTTTATTCATTACTGGGTCCCTGAACTGCCACCAAAATGAGCATAGGCAGTGAACTACTCCATACGCCTACCTATGTGCAGGGGACACCGCAGTGCCATCGTTGGTGACAAGGAGAGCAGCACTTTCAGTGTGCCCATCTGAATGGCTCCTATCTAGTAAGCTGCCTCAAAAACCAAAAGAAGCATTTGGGCTGGTGAGATGGCTCAGTGGTCTAAAGCACCTACTTGGAACAAGCTTTGGGAAAACACAGGGACCACGGTTCAATCCCCCAGCACCACATGCCAGCCAGCCGCGCCCCCTGGTGGGCTGAGCTGGTCACACACACACACACACACACACACACACACACACACACACACTAAATAAATAAATGTTAAAAAAAAATTTTTTTTTTTAAAAAAAAGATAATTGCAAGCAGCTTTTGCACCTCTGTCACCAGCCTGCTACTTGTGGGTTGCTTTAACTTCTCCGTCCAAGTGCTTGCTGCAAAGCGAGGCAGGTGATTATTATCATGAGCCAAAAGAAAGTTACGAGGAGCAGAGTGACTACCTGAGCATCGGAGTTAAATTCTCCAAAACTGAAGAGCCTGGAGCGCAGTTCCAGCTCGGCTGCCTTTTCCTCTTCTCGCAGGCAGTTGGCCTTCAGAATTTCCTTGTGCTCCAGCAGGAACTCTATGTTGCTATTTCTATTGCAAAAGAAGAGAGAGAAAGACCCCCCTCGCCTGTGACTTGGGGTTCAGTGAAATAACCATCAGCCAGGAGCGTCAACGCTGCCAGGAACATGGGTCGACACCCTGCCTCTAGCGAGCCCAGAGGAGCCTGCATTTGGAGACACTGCTGAAGGACACCACTTTTCAAATTCTGACGAGGACAAGAAATGCTCAGCGGCTGCTTCCCTGGCAGGCATTTTTCCTCCCCCATTTCCAAACAAGTAGCAGCAGAGCTGAAGTGTCAGGAGCCCTAGTTGTGATTGGTCTGTTAGAAGAGCACACTCACGAATGGCTGACTGGCAGGATTCTGGGAAGTAAGGGGGGAACCAGAGACCCTGGCTCCCCTGTGAAGATTCTGACGGGGCCTCTGAGAGACAGCCTGACACAGAGTGCCCTTTCTTGCCTGCCCGCCATGGTCCCACCCTTTTGTTTGAGAAAATCGTGGGCTAAGGGCACTGTACCATGCTCTGTAAGGACTGAGAAAGACACAAGCCCCAAAAGTCACAGTAGTGGTGATGAGGTAATGGTTTTGGGGTTCTTTCCGAACAAATCCATTTGTTCTTTGCTTACCTCGGGACTAGGGACCGCACCCAAAACTCCCCGCGTGCTAGGCAAGCGCTCTGCCACTGAACTACACTCCCAGCCCTCAAATTCATTTGCTCTCAAGGTTAATGTAGCATGACCTATTGTTTAAAAAGACTGCACCTTCCGGCCCAGAAAACCTCCAGAAATGATTCTATACATTTTTATAAATGGGTAGGTATAACGATATCTTCTGCAGAGCTTGAAGCTCTTCAAAATGATACAAGATTTTAAAATAGGGGGGAATTTTGTAAGTCATTGTACCCACCTCACTCCTAACCACCCTGTAATAACCCAAATGTCTTGACAGTTCATCATAAAAAATCATACTGTTAAATCTCCGAAAATAGTTTTGCTGAGAGTCACAGCCACGAAAAATTTATCAGCATCCAAAGCATGATTTGCTAAAGTGATGGGGTGAAACTAAATTGAACCAAAAAACTGAGGGAATATTTCCATTCTTTTTTGGTCTTCTTAGCTAGGAAAACATTTTTTATTAGTGCTTATTTGTAGTGTGGAACAGTGACATTCAAGTGGGGGACTTGGTAGACAAGCGCAATGTGTCATGATCCTTTCCCTCCCTTTTGCTTTCCTCCCCCATCTTGTGGGGCCCCTTACTTGTCTCCAAAGCTTGACCTTAGCAGGGACAGAATTAAACTAAAGTCACTCTGTTCTGTGTAAATGTACTCTGAATCTTTTACATGCACAGTGAAAGGCTATTAATTAAAAAAAAAACCCAGTATAAATCTATAGATACTGAGGAAGAGCCACTGTGAATGAGTTGGACCCACCCTCAGAAATTGCTTAAAAGAATAAATCTGTTTGTTTTCACTGACTTACATTTTGTCCTGTATAACTTTTTCTCTTTTGTTTACCTCTTCAAGATTTTCATCTACATCTTGGGAATACTGGACCAAAGTCAGATTCTGCTCTTCCAGATTTGTGAGGACCTGAAGTAACTCTTCTGGTTCCTTGAAGTACAGCTCCGGCAGCTAACCAATCAATAACGAAGAAGAGAATTCACTTCCAAATACGCACATGCGACTCACATAGATAATCCTGCTGTTTTCATCACTGTGACCAAATGCTTGAGAAAATCAACTCTCCAGGGGGAAAGGTTTATTTCTGCAAGAGGCTCCAGAGGTCTTGGTGCGTGGTCACTTGGGCCTGCTGTCTTGGACCTATGGGGTCCGGGGGACTGTTCATAGTGGCGAGGAAGCAAAGACAGAAGCAGCAGCCTGGTCCCAGTATCTTCTTCAAGGACACCCCAATGGCTTTTCTTCCCCTCAGCTGTACCTCTAAAAGGTTCTACACCTCCCAGGAGCACCTCAGGGTGGGATCCATGCTTCCAACACATGACCTTCGGGAGCCATTCCAGAGCCAACCGCTGGCAGCCGCTCTGACGTGAGGAAGATGTGTGGGTAAGTGCGAGGGAGCCTTACCTACTTCCCTGAGAGAGCTGGTGCTCAGGAATAGGGCATCCCAAGGATGGGAGGGTGAACGAGAGAGCTACTTTAGGGTGCGGAAGGGGAAGAAGGAAGAAGGTCAGGAAAAGAGGATTAAGGGATGTAGCAGGACAGGAAACAAGAGCAGGAAATAGTGAAAATGAAAGACAAGGCAGAAGGAGTAGAAGCAAGACTGGAGGCTAAGGGAAGGTCGCTCCTCCACACACTGTAATGAGTTTGCATTTTTTCTTTTTAATTCTAAAGAACAGGTGTCTATTACTTTAAGTGAACAGTTTTTATTTGCATATCTGTGCTCATCACTATTTATAATACTCAAGTGTAGGAGCAGCCTAAGTGTCCATGAATAAATGAGTGCGTAAATAGAATGTGATATGCACACATGGGAACATTACTCAGACTTTAAAAAGGGAGAGTCTGTCTTACGCTACAATATGGATGACCTTTGGGGTCATCATGCTGAGTGAAACAGACCAGTCACAGAGAGACAAATGCCACATGCTTCCACTCACACGAGACATCTAAAGGAGACAATCCCTTTGACACAGAAAGTAGGAGGACAATTGCTAGGAGCTAGAATAACAGAGAAATGTTCAATTCACACAGTTTCAGTTTTTCAAGGTGTAAAAGTTCTAAAGATCTTCTTGAAAAATAAATATACATATAGGCAACACTTCTGTACACTTAAAATGAGTAAGGTGGCCAATTTTATATCACATATTTTTAAATACAATTTTCCAAAAGGATGACCGCAATAAGGTGTGTTATATACAGCAAAGGTGGGGTTTTTAAAAAAATTCCTTTAAGTTTCTATAGTTCTGTTCTTGTTGAGGTAAATGCAAAATAAATTTTACAGTAATAGGGTGGTATTACTGCACATTTATTTCTCTTACATTTCAACTATACAATATATCTCAAGCACCAATAAAATGACCAGCCACCAGAAAGTGGTTATTTTTACAGGAAAACTGTAGTTCAGCTATTTCCCCCAAGTTGTTATCTTCTTAGAGACATTCATTTTTCAGAGATGGTCTGATGGCTAATCAAACTAATTAAAGAGCAGCCTAAAACTATATTTCTTTTTGGAAAATCTGTGGCATGTTTGGAGTAGAAAACTTAACTTTTGTTAGAGGACATGAACAACTGTACTTTTCACCAAATGCAATATTTCAATCAAGAAATACAATCTGGTTACCAGATCTAAATCCATGTCGTCATCTAAGAAGAATTCCAGACTGTCCTCAGAACCAGCACTTTCCGGCCAACTGTTAAAAATGAAAACAAAGAAACGTAAATGATTTCTGAACTATCCCAGTGGACTGGCTTACTTTTCTTTTTTAAAAAAAATGTATTTAGTACAGGATCTACAGGGTCTCACTACACAGACTGGACTCACAGTGATTCTCCTGTTTTCAGCCTCCAAAGCCTGGGATTACAGGCACGTGCCACCCCGCCCAGTCTCAGTCGCCCTCTCAGCGTGCTCCAGGGGCAGGGCCGGTACTGCACGCCAGGGATCAAACCCCGCTGCATCTGCCTAAGCAGGCGCTGGCTTTGTTTTCTAAAGTGTCTTTGGAACTTAACTGTAGCAGAGTGTTTTTCAGAAGGCTGTTTAGCCTTTCAGGGAACTGCTCACTGGGGGAAAACGAGCATAAGACAAGAGCAGCAGACATTTCACCAGGCGCCGCAGGGGCACACACATGCATAATGCATAAAAGTGCTCAGTACCACGAGGCGCTAGGAAATGCAAATCGAAAGCAAGCTCGGAGTAGTTAAAATTAAAAGAGAGCAAGCACATCGACCGCTGGTGAGGATGTGGAGCCTGGATTCCTCAGACACTGCAGGCAGGCGCGGAGAGCGGCTCAGGCCACCTGGGAAACAATTTGACAGCTTCTTCCAAAAGCTACGCATGCACCACCGCCAAGCCAGCCGTGCTTTCTAGGTGCTTATCCTAAAGGGATGAAAACTCTGTCCACACGAGAAGTTAAGCAAATGAACCTACAGCAACTCTACTCATGAGAGCCCTGAACCAGGAACAGTGTAAACGTTCTCCAGGGCACGAACAGTTAAGATACAGCACAGAGCACTCATATTGTAGGCTACTGCTCAGCTGCAGAAAGAAGCCAAGTACTGACAGAATTGGCAACTTGGATGCATTTCCAGAGAATTATGCCTGGTGAAAACTCCAGAAGGCTGGCTAGGACATGAGTCTATGTCTACAATGGCCTTGAAATGACCAAATCTCAGGAATAGAAAGCGATGAGCGGCTTTCAGGGACAGGGAAGTAGGTGTGGCCATGAAAGGCGAGATGAAGAAAGCTGTGGTGACAATCTGTATTTGCTGTGTCCATGCCAATGTCCAGGTTGTGGTATTGTCTTAGTTATGCAAGATGCCACCGTTGAGATCAAAGGCACATGGGACCTGTCTGGGTTATTTTCTATAACTGCATGTAAATCTTCAATTATTTCAAAATAAAAAGTTAAAGCAGCCATGGTGAAGCAGCGTGTGGTGGCACATGCCTGTAATTCCAACACCTGACAAGCTGAGACAGGAGACTGCTATGAGCGCAAGATCAGCCTGGGCTACACAGTGACTTCAACGCTAGTCTGAGCTATAAAGCGAGACTCTATTTCAGAAAAGCAAAAAAAAAGAGGGTTAAATGACAGAGACATGGAACAACCCCAGAGGCCCTAGAAGTCAGAGTAAAGTGTCTCTTGGCCTTTCGTGATTGTCATGGATACCGGCCAACGGGCTCACATCCCTTCCTCTGAGTTAATGTGACAGGCCGGGCATTCCTATATTTTCTTAAGGCTTCTTTGGGGCAGCTGGGGTTGAGAACCTGCGCCTTGTAAAACACTGAGTATAAACAGCAACAATCAAGCGAGGGAAGAAACAAAAATAAATGCTTCGTGGTCACAGCGCAGCAATTGTGAGGGATTCAGGGAAGTCACAGACACATGAGCTGGCGCAGAGGTTAATAAACCACAGGCTGTGGACTCTGAGAGGCCCAGACCCAGGATGCAGGGACCAGCATTTTCTGCAAGCAGACAGGACCCAGAGCTCAGTCTCCTATGCAGCGCACTAAGACAGGGACCATGGACTCCAGCGTCTATCCCAACAGGTGTGGCTGTGAGAGCTCTACGCTGCAGAGAGGCTGAACTGCATTTTCTGAAAACCATTCCCAGTTTCCAAGAGAGTAAGTGTAGACCATACTTGGATGTGGGTGAGCTCATGGCCTCGGGGTTGAGAGAGGACTTCTTGCGGATCTTTCCTGCTCGAAATATCCAGGTGAAGTCCATGCCATTGGGAAGGGGAGAGGGGAAAGAAACAGCACATCGTTAAAAATTAGTCCTTGTCTCTTGGTACAAATGTGGAAACTGGCTTCACAAACCAGAAGGATTTTTTGGTTCTATCACTGGGGTGAATGTTCATGGCTTGAGACTCATACTGGGGTCATTTCTGTGCAAGAAAAGTTTGCTGTCGAATTTGCCCCAACAACTATATACATCCCCTGGATAGAAGGGAAAAGAGGTCACTAAGAGTCTGTCTGCACTGAGGGTCACAAATGCAGGTGACTACTGGTGGGGCAGGTACCAGATGGAAGAAGGTGATGGGGACTAAGTCCACTGGAGAGGGCTGGTCCTTCCTATGGGGAGTGGACCATGTGCATGGTAGAACTGCCTCGCTTTTTCCCAAGAGTGACTTCTGTGGGTCACTGACCAATGGCAGTCACTTACTTGCAATGGCCTGGTCCCCTGGGCCCTGGGAAGGGGTTTTTCATTACTGGAAGGCAGGTCTGAGCAGACCAAAGAGGGGCCCAGCTAGGAAGGACTTTAGAGAAGCCAGGGGATGGCTTCTGTCTACTCGACATAACTTGTGATAACATCGGGGGAAACCGGAACTCCTGGTGTCTAGGACTAGGGGTGATATGGCCATACTCCGCCATTTTGCTGTAGGCCCTCCTTCACTTTGAGGAGAACGTGTTCTGTCAGGGAGTGAAGTCACACCTCTCCATGCTTACCTTGGCTCTTCTTCCTTGTAGAGTCGTCTGAAGATGGTCTCTTCTCAGAACTTGCAACACCATTCTCCATTTTACTTGGACTTAATGGGAATTCTAGAATGGGAGATGAGATAGAGAGAGGAAAGACAAGATTGGGGAATGGGTTTCTGAGAATGAGAAGTATTGTCAACACTCCCAAAGACAGAAATAAAAGATGGCGATCTTGTAATCAGTACATGCAGTCTGCCCCCGGTAAGGACTGTCTCTGCTGGAGGCAGAGAGGATGAGAATAGGCCCAAGGGCACTAGGACATCTCCATTTTCAACTGCAGCCAGCCTGAGACACCTCCTGGGCGCTGAGCAGCTCCTGCTCACAGGACGAGTCTAGGAGGTCGAACTCTTAAGCTGTTCAACGCAGCTACGTCTTCATTTTTGTTTGTTCTCTTCTTCTACCCAGTCCAGTGAGTCTTAATCAAATCTCGGTGTTATGTACAACGCCTCACACACACAGCCTCACTGACATTCGGCTGTATGCTGGGGCAGGTTTATTCAGCCCATTCTGGGTGAACAGAACTCCCAGATTCATTGTCCGCCCGTGTCTGTGAGGCATCCCCTCGGCTCTCCGCGGAGCTCCTGCAGGGAGCCCCATCCCACCGGGATCTCCTGCAGCCACCTCAGGGCCTCACTGCCTGGTCTCCCTGCTGGTAGGATGGCTCTGCTTGGCATTTGATCGCTTGGGGGCTGAAAACTCTCTCTCACGTTCCTCCAGTTTTTCAGGTATTTTTTCCAGGAAAGGTGTACTGGTGGTTTCAAGTCTGCCCCTAGTTATTCTAATGTTCCTTGGTGTACAAGCTCTCTATTTTGATTTGTGGCTTCACTTTAATCATGAATTCAGTTCTTTTATATGATGGTATGTATTTCTGGTCCATTAGGCTGACCTCCAAATGCCATAATGTTGTAATTATTGGGATTCTGGGACAATATGGCACATAATATTTTAAAGAATTACTAACTCCTAACCAAAACTATAGATGATCCTCAAAATGATTATATAAAGTTGTCCCCTATCTGACACCCCAGTTTCTGAGAAATTTTTGGCAACATTATATATATATATATATATATATATATATATATATATATATATTTCAACATATAACATTTTTGTATTTATCAAGCCTCCAGGTCATGATATTAAAGTTACTTTTATTTTCTTAGGTTTAATGGTTTAATTTTCTTGTATAGTTTCTAATTATCAAAGTTAGTTGGCTTGTGTTAATATGTAAATATACAGGCAAAGGTAAGGTAAGTTGCTACTGCTAATTTGTAATAGGAAGATAAAGTATAACTGATTTTGTGCTCATTTACTTTATAGGGTATTTTACTAAATCAAAGTTTCTGAGATTTTTTTTTAAAGGGAGGATTTCAAACTATTACATCATCTACAAATTATATATTTTCTCTTTTTTCATGTATATATTTTTATGGCTTCATTTCTGAAATTAACCTGAGTTTGAAATTAGTAATAGAGAATAACAAAGACAGTGAGAATCTGTATTCTGGATTTGTTTTTAAAATTTTTGACTTTAAACAAAAACCAACAAAGTAGGATCTTTTAGAATCAGGGATTTAAAAAAAAAAGAATCAGGGATTTTTATTTAATTGAAATCAAGAATATTAAACTTACTTGTTAATAGTTTTGGAATAATGGATTGACTTTTTGGTGTCTGCGCTCTTTTCATTGCTTGTTGCGCCTGCCAGTGTTTTGGAGACAGTTTCAGCAGGAAAAATCCATATTTCATGTATTCCCGAAGAAGAAATTCTGTGTTTGCTATTTCACTACTCAAAAGAAACAAAGATATGGATTAGGTGTTCCTGTATGAAAAGCATATGGATTAAAAAACTTTCTTACACAACATTTTCTTGATGATGTATTAATAATGTACTTATCAAAAATTGTAAGTATAGTCATAAAAATGTAGGCTTCAATGAGATGAGAAAAAAGTAGTCTGGGATACTATTTGTCTGAGTAAAACTTCCAGTGATATGCACACTTACAATAGGCTGGGAATAGTTTCACTCTGTATATTTATTTCTGAGAAAAACCATATGTTAAGTCTTAGACCCAAGGAGAAATTAGAAGGTGGCAAATGATGGTACCTCCGTAAGGAGAAGAAAGCGTACTAACAGTTCGGGAAGACCTTCAGGGCACATGGCAATTGGCAGATGCTTTACAGAGCTGGTTCCCTTGGCAGTACAGCATTATTCTCAAGCCAGTGCCCAAACCCAATTGTGATGCCCAACCTCTCACCGAAAATACCTAGAGCTTTTCTACCAGCTTGCATTGCTTTACCATAGCCATGTTAGAGATGGTCCCAGAAGGACTGTTTAAACAAGAAAGGAAAGGGGGTACATTTTTCAGAACCTCCCACATTCACAGCCTCATCACATCTTATCAGTCTGCTCAGCTTCAGTTCTCTGTGTGTCGGATCCATCTTCTCAAAGTCCTGGTGTGGGGGTGGTAGAATGGGTCAGCGAGTGGCTGGCTCTGGTTTCAGCCCTCCTCTTTACCACTGCTTTTGTTTTTGATAGATTTTCTCCCAGATGAAAAAGAACATGGAGTAAAAATGGACTGGAATTGCATGGCTTCCATACAAAGGCTTAGGAAGAAAGTAGCTTTCTTTTTGTAAACGGGTCCCTGGCTTGACCCCAGTTGGGCCTGCAGTAAAGGACCTCAACTTCCTTGGACCTTCTCCTTATTAAGACGAAAACAGCCTGCCTGGGTCTGTCACAAGCTGTGTCCCATGCTCATTTGATCTTCTCGAGGATGATGGGACAATAAGCAATAAACACGTTCTTGGGCCAGGGTACTTGGAGAGTGTCCCCTGCAGGGCCATCAGGCATACGTATCACATTTATAGAAACATAAAGGCTGTTACTGTGGTTGTATAAATATTCTTTAAATGGATAAAATCTTCTGCTTACATTATGGGGTGGGGAGTATGAATTCTCCCTCTTGGAGCACCTCCAACTTTAGGTTCCCAAAACAGAAGAAGCTGCTGGAGCCACAATGTGTTTGAAATATGCAGTTCGTTAATGTGCTTGGTTTCAAATAAACTACCATCCAGCTCATCTGCTACCTTGTAGAGAAGCTATTGCCCTTCTTCCCACATAGGCCTATTGTGTAAGAAATGAAGGGTGTGCGTTCAGAGGCGATAGGCACATTAAGCAATCAAGAAAAGGTCAGTCTTAGCACTACCTGACGCTAAAACAACAGTATTTCCTGGATCGTGAACGTATTGTCTAAGGATGCTGAAAGGAGCTTTTTAGATACTTAAAATTAATTCGAGTAAGTTTCCTTAACCATAGAAAGAAATGCACAGGTTCGAAAAAGAGTGGCCAGTGGTACAATAACGTGAATCCCAACTCTGCTCCTGTGATTTTTCTCACTAGAAATCTTATATTTTAATAGCAGTGCTAGATTTTACTACATGTAAATATAAAATATACTACCCATTATAACTGCAAGGCACTTGGAAAATGAATCTCAACTTCAGAGTGGTTCAAATATGGAGGGGAATGTGTCTTTCAAGGACTAGAAGGGAGCATTGAGAGAAGAATTAATTGTTTGCTTTCTTTCAGCAGATTTCTTTGCTTCTGCATCTTCTTCTACAAGTTAGAGACCTTTGCTGACAGCTGCCGTGAACTGACACCCAGGCAGAGGTGAGCCTTCACTACTTATTTAAAATTTGCTCACACTCATGAGTTTATCAGCGAGGATTATTCCCACACAGGCTTCCACGTGGGCTGTGGAATCCTAGCTCTGAGAAGACAGCGGCTCCCCTCACCTCTTCATTGCCTGTACCTCCATGCTGGCCTTCTTTAGCTCAGATGTCATTTGGAGTTTGTTGAGAGTTTCTTGCGCTGCCCTGGAAAAGGAGCAAAGATTTGTTAGTCTGTTTTGTTTTTTGTTGTGTTGTGTTTTAAGAAACTTACAACAAACTGGGGGAGGGCAGGTGGGATTTGGTCAACGTGAAGACACTAACATTTTCATAGCATCTGCAGATCGCTGGTCATTTTCTCGAAGGAACTCTTCAAAGGCTAGGGTGTCATCTTGAAGCTTTTGTTCTGCCTTTTTGAGCTGCCTTTCCTTTACAACTATGAGTTTTTCAAGTCTTTTAATTGTGTTTTTTTTGGTTGATAGAGTGTACTAGGAACATTGAAAATAAAAATGTCAGTAACATTAGCATGCATTTTAGGGACCCTCAAACAGTCTCATCATAATAGAGGTGAAAACGAATTTCACCGAAAGCAATTATTTGTATCAGAAGCAATAGTTTGGCTAAATCGTAGGCCTTTTTATTTCATATTGCTTTGAAAGATGGCTAGAAGGGAGAATAATTTCTCTTATTTACTTTTATGAAGAGATTTGGGGTTATCCCAAAAGTGGCTGTGCCCCACAAGTCAAAAATAGCTACGAATCTGTCCAAAGAGCAGGGCTATCTGTTAGCACCTTGCAGTTCTTTCTGGGTACTGGGAAACTGGGCTGTGTGCTGCCAGGAATTCTATCAGCTTCTCCTCTAACAAGAAAGACCCTAGAGGGCCAGCCAATAGCTCAGCGGATTAAAGCACCTGCAAGCAGGCGCAGGGGTCAGATCCCCGGGCCTGCCATGCAGGCCCTGCCCCCAGGACGCGCTGAGACGGCAATTGAGACTGAGCATGGTGGTGCACGCCTATAATCTCGGCTCTTGGGAGGCTGTAAACAGGCGGATCACTACGAGTCTGATGTACGCAGTGAGACCCTGAACACCCTGTAGACCCTTCCCTAAAAATACAAAAAAAAAAAAAAAAAAAAAGAAAGACAAGAAAGGATGCCATTTTAACCCTCCATGCAGTGATGTGCTCCTCTGAGCTGGGTAGAAATTGTTGACCAAACCCACAGAGGCCTATTTACATCTCCAAGTACAACTTTGACATCTATCTATCTCTCTTTTTTTTTTTTTTTTTCAGTACATAATATAAGAATCCACTTGGACATGACAATGTTAAGCCATGCAGTTATATGTAAAAGTTGAGCAAGGCAATGATCCGGAGAATATTCAGAAGATTCTTTAATCTAGGAGTTAATTGGAAAGATTCTCACCCTGACTAACTATATATACTGATA